AAGGGAAACCCCTCGTGTGTTTTGCAGCAACTGGTATTCAGAACTTTCTAGTTCCGAGAACAGCAGACAGGAGAGAGGTTTCTCAAAATTATGCATGGCATGGAGAAGGTGGATAGAGAAATCCTCCCTCTCTTGCGACACTATAACTCACGGACGTCCATTGCAGCTGAACGTTGGGTGATTCAGGGTGGATTAACATAGCTGTCAGCTTTCAGATTTGAAAATAAAGGATCAGCAGCCTCACCTGTCTCGGGAACAGTCTACGGGATATCTAACATTCCGGGATAGCGGGAAGCAGCGGGAAATGGCACCGGAATAGGGGAATTTCCCACAAAAGAAGGGAAGGTTGACAGCTAGGTAAAGGTAAAGGGACCCCTGACCATTAGGTCCATTCGTGGCCGACTCTGGGGTTGCAGCACTCATCTCGCTTTATTGGCCGAGGGAGCCGGCGTACAGCTTCCGTGTCATGTGGCCAGCATGACTAAGCCGCTTCTGGCGAACCAGAGCAGCGCACGGAAATGCTGTTTACCTTCCCACTGGAGTGGTACCTATTTATCTACTTGCACTTTGACGTGCTTTCAAACTGCTAGGTTGGCAGGAGCTGGGACTGAGCAACGGGAGCTCACCCCGTCACGGGGATTTGAACCGCCAACCTTCTGATCAGCAAGCCCAAGAGGCTCAGTAGTTTAACCCACAGCGCCACCCGCGTCCCGTTGACAGCTATGTGGATTAAATAAAAGTCCTTCTTCACGCAGCTCACAGTTGGACTGGGGAACTCCCTCCCACAGGAGGCAGGCATGACCAACAACCTGGATGACTTTAGAAGAGGATCGGACAAAAATCAAATATCTTTAATACGGTCAATGACCAGCAAGAAGAGGATCGGACAAATTCGTGGCGGGCGAGAGAGGGCTGTCAATGCCTGCTGTCAGTGCTCTCCTCCGCAGTCAGAGGCAGCCATTGTTCCGAATGCCCAGGAGGGGAGAGGGCTGGTCTTGTGTTCGAATCCTGCTTGCAGCTTTCTCGCTGGGGCAGCTGCTCAGACAGTGTGAGGACAGGAGGCTGGACTAGATGGGCAACTGGCCTGATCCAGGAGGCAATTCTTATGCTCTTATATTCTTATGAAGCATTTCTGTCTCCAGGTACAGAGGAAGAGGACAGCTATCATGCACACGTCTCTGCCACAGCACTGCCCAAATATCTGTCTGTCTCTCTCTCTCTCTTTCTCTCTCTCTCTCTCTCTATATATATTATTTTATTTTATTTTATTTTTTATTTGTATAATTTATTCCTGCCCTTCACTGCTAAGCAAACCCAGGGCAGGTCACAACATTCATTACTTTTTTTTAATCGCTGTAAGATACACTATTCCAGGCTACGTGTAAATTAATGGGTCTTTGCAAAGACCAGAATTATTCAGTTCTGCATTTCTTTGCTTCTTGACTCCGTCTCCACCTTTATGCCTTAATTCTCCAATTCAAGGGCCCCGTCTGTGTTTCCGTGTCCTGACGTACAGCCATTGAAATTTCTTTAAAGTGCGAGGGTGTCGTTTTGGGGAAGGCTTGGCATTTAAGTTGTGTGGGGAAGGTCCAATTATCTCTGGGCTGTAAAAACGGCTACACAATAAAAGATAACTTCGAAAAACACCGTTACGCCCAGATGAGTCACACCCCGTGGAAATGCCATCCCAGAGCTACCAAATATATATCTTGATCTTTAAGAAAAGGTGTCTCACCATTATAGTCTCTTATTTTGACTATTATTATTTTACTTGCAGTAAGTGTGTCACAATCTTCATCTTGTTCATTTCCAAAAAAAATCCTCCTTAGAGTGATTTGCTCACAGACTGAGGTTGAATCCTGACAAGACAGAAGTACTGTTTTTGGGGAAAAGGGGGCGGGTAGGTGTGGAGGACTCCCTGGTCCCGAATGGGGTAACTGTGCCCCTGAAGGACCAGGGGCACAGCCTGGGGCTCATTTTGGACTCGCAACTGTCCATGGAGGTGCAGGTCAATTCTGCGCCCAGGGCAGCTGCCTACCAGCTCCATCTGGGATGCAGGATGAGACCCTCCCTGCCCACAGACTGTATCACCAGAGTGGTACATGCTCTGGTTATCTCCCGCTTGGACTACTGCCATGCACTCTACATGGGGCTTCCTTTGAAGGTGACTTGGAAACTGCAACTAATCCAGAATGCGGCAGCTGGACTGGTGACTGGGAGCGGCCGCCGAGACCATATAACATCGGTCCTGACCTTGAAAGCCCTGAACAGCCTCGGCCCAGATGCGGGTTGCATTCTGCTCAGGACCGTAATCTGTTCGCATCCAGAGGCACCACTTTTTTTTGAAAACGTTCACTCTGATCTGCCATAGTAAGAACATAGGAAGAGCCTGCTGGATCAGGCCTGGGGTCCATAAAGTCCAGCATCCTGTTCTTACAGCGGTCAAAGCACCCAAAGAATCTGGATAGACTGCCACTGAACCTGGAGGTTCTGTAAGAACGTAAGAGCCCAGCTGCTGGGTCAGGCCAAAGGGGGCTTGTCTAATCCTGTTCTCACAGTGGTCAGCAAGCTGCCTCAAGGGGAAACCTGCAAGCAGGATTGGAGCAGAACCTTTCTGCCTCCTGAGCTTTTCCAGCAACTGGTTTTTGGAAGCATCGCTGCCCCAAGATGTGAGGGCAGAGCAGAGCCATCCTAGCTAGGAGCCATCAATGGCCCTTTCCGTCTCCATGAATTTGTCTCCTCCTCTTTTAAAGCCAGGACGCGCGTGGCGCTGTGGGTTAAACCACAGAGGCTAGGACTTGCCAATCAGAAGGTCGGCGGTTTGAATCCCCGTGACGGGGTGAGCTCCCGTTGCTCGGCCCCTGCTCCTGCCAACCTAGCAGTTCAAAAGCACGTCAAAGTGCAAGTAGATAAATAGGTAGCGCTCCGGCAGGAAGGTAAACGGTGTTTCCATGCACTGCTCTGGTTCGCCAGAAGCGGCTTAGTCCTGCTGGCCACATGACCCGGAAGCTGTGCGCCAGCTCCATCAGCCAATAAAGCGAGATGAGTGCCGCAACCTCAGAGTCAGCCACGACAGGACCTAATGGTCGGGGCTCCCTTTACCTTTACCTTTTAAAGCCATCAGGTCGGACTGAGGTTTGATGAGGCCCTCAGCTCCTGAAGGTAATGGGGCCCTTTATATGTCCAGCTGTCCTTTGTCAACAACATATTGTTGTTTTTTCTGTTGAATATATGCTATATGGTCATTTATGGACCTCATAGGTATCTCAAGCCATTTGCACATAACAAAACATGTATTTCATCAAAGTAATTGATAAAGAATGAGCAAACCAGTGATATTTTCAAGAGCAGGCGAGCAGGCAGGGCCCATGACTGACATCATAGGAGCCTACACAACACAAAACACTGTTGCTGTATGTAGGATTTATTTTATTTTATTTTATTTTTTCTCTTATATTTTGGAAATGTAAGTAAAGGTAAAGGGACCCCTGACCGTTAGGTCCAGTCGCAGACGACTCTGGGGTTGCGGAGCGCATATTGCTTTACTGGCCGAGGGAGCCGGTGTTCAGCTTCCGGGTCATGTGGCCAGCATGACCAAGCCACTACTGGCGAACCAGAGCAGTGCACGGAAACTCCGTTTACCTTCCTGCCGGAGCGGTACCTATTTATCTACTTGCACTTTGTGCTTTCGAACTGCTAGGTTGGCAGGAGCAGGGAACGAGCAACGGGAGCTCACCCCGTCGCGGGGATTCGAACCACCGACCTTCTGATCGGCAAGTCCTAGGCTCTGTGGTTTAACCCACATCGCCACCCGCGTTCCATTTTGGAAATGTACATCCAGGTTTTTTTTCCTTTAATTTTTTTGGGGGGCCCCCAAGAGAGTGGGGCCCTAAGCTAGAGCTTGTTTAGCTTATATGTAAATCTGGCACTGGGGCCAACCCTGTCTCCTTCAGGAGGGAGTTCCAAAGTTTAATTATGCACTTCATGTAAAAGTCTTTTCTTTTACCCATCCTAAATCTTCCGACCTTCCACTTCATTGAATGATCCACAAGTTCCAGTGTTAGGGGAGAACAAGGAAAACATTACCCTGTCCCCTTTCTCCATGTAGTGCACCATCTGATAAACTTCGGTCCTGTAAAAGCTCTGGGCTCAGAACACTTGCTTTTTCCTCTTGGGATTTAAGCCTTTTTTTTTTCTACCCGGATTAAGATCAACAAGGAAGATAATTTTTGTGGCCCTCACCCAACTTGCAAGATTCCCAGAAGAGGCGTCCACCTGGGCTTTGTCGGGAAGAGATAGAACCCCCCCCCCCCAATCTGATCCAGCCCACCCAGTTCTCGTTTCTCAATAATCTAATTGCCTTGATCGGAGCAATAAATAAAACAGGAGAAATGAGCATGTGGAGAGGGGAGGGAGATCGAGAGAGAGAGGGATTCGAGACGAGGAGCAGTGGAAAATCTTGAGAAATGATGTAAGAGAGAGCAGAGGCAGGGATTGGAGTGCAGGAGCGCCTTCAGAGACTATAAAAACTCCGAGAGAAAAGTGAACATCAGAGATAAGTGAAGAGGAACCAGCTTGGAAGGACCAGGGGGGTTTTTTTTTGGAAGATTTGAAGGACTGATCTTCCAAGCTTCCTCCAGGCAAGGTGAGTGAGCAGAGGCCATTTCTCTCTGTCTGTCTTGCTTTTCTTACAACCCTTTGCTTCCATCCTAGCACTGCTGCTTTTGAAAAGTTCTGCTCAGAACCAGCAAGAATATGCAAAGTCTGCAGAGGGTGACAAGGAGGCTTCCCCCACCTGCACGCTGTGTGTCTCACTGCAATTCTCAAACTGGGCTGAAATGGACCAAAATTATCCCAGCGTGTCAAATGGTGTTCTGGAATGGGCTGTTTGCATTGTTCTTAGAGCTGTCTGAATTCAGGGAACGGCAGATCATATTACTTTTATTTATTATTATTATTTTTAAATGCCTTTGTTCAGCTGATTTTAAAAATGCAGTGCGGGCAGTGTGGTGTAGTGGTTAGAGTGTTAGACTAGGACCTTGAAGACGAGGGTTCGATTCCCACCTCAGCCATGAAGCACACCAGTGGCTTTGGGCCAGTCATCACCTTCTCTCAGCCTAACTTCCCTCACGGGGAAAGAAGTACCGCACAGAGCACCTGGAGCTCTTTGGAGAAGAAGGTAGCATATAAATGCAATACATAAATAATAAAATAACTTCGCAACATGATGCCCCTAAAGAAAAATGCCAGAGAAGTGAGTTGACTCAACAACTTGGTTGCTGTGCTACTGAAAATAATAATAATGGTGTTCTCCGGCTTGCAGAATGGACTTTAGCGTTTAGGGAAAGGAGGATTTTCTTAGCCGATAAAGTCATCCCCACGCCTTTGATTCATTCTCCATGAACTTTAAGCCTTCGAAAAGTTAGCTCAGAATAAGTTCCCACACTAAAAAACAGGAGGGAGGGATGGACACCTGGACTCAGGTATTTCGAACACAGACCTGGATGAAAGTAACAAGACAAACACTCAGCTCATGTCCATTGCTCATTATTCTTAGAATCATAGAACTGCAGAGTCGGAAGGGACCCCGAGGGTCATCCAGACCAACCCACTGCAATGCAGGAATCTCAGCTAAAGCATCTCTGGCAGATGGCCAGCCAACCTCTGCTTAAAAACCTCCAAGGAAGGAGAGTCCACTGTTTTCCAAAGGGGTCCATTCCACTGTATTTTGCTCTCAGAAAGCACTCCCTATGTTTAGCTGGAATCTCCTTCCTTGCAATCTGAATCCACTGGTTCGGGTCCTGCCCTCTGGAGCAGGAGCAGAAAGCAGGCTTGCTCCATCTTCCAGCCCTTCGGATATTTGAAGGTGTCTATTGGATCTCCTCTCCTTGAACTGCCAAGGGTAAGAGAACCAACCAAGGGGGGCTTCCCTCGCTAACCTTAACACCTGGTCTGGTCTGCAGGAAAGGAGTCAGCCTTGCAGGTATTTAGGACCCCAAGTAATGTAATAATAATAATATTTTTTTTTTTTATTTATACCCCGCCCTTCCCGGTTCAGAAAACCAGGCTCAGGGCGGCTAACAACAAATTTAAAACACTTAATTGATGCAACATAAAACAGCATAAAATATCGTCTAAAATGTGAATAACAATAAATTCAGAATTCAAAAATCAATTTAGGGGGAAAATCCATCCAATAAACATTAGATGATCACCAGCGCTATCTGGCTAAATTAGTCCTATTTGTAGTCCTATGTAGAGATTTAAGCACTAATTTGAGCAGCTTGAATTGGTCTGAGAAATTAACGGCAGTCAATGGGAGTTATATGACTTCAGGAAGTCCCCTTGGCTAGCAGTCATTGCATTCTAGACCATCTGAAGGTTCTGAACTGTCTTCAAGGGCAGCCCCACTGTGTTGCAGTAGTCCATGGACAGGCAACCTAAGGCCTGGGGGCCAGATCCAGCCCAATCGCCTTCTAAATCCGGCCCGCAGACAGTCCGGGAATCAGCGTGTTTTTACATGAGTAGGATGTGTGCTTTTATTTAAAATGCATCTCTGGGTTATTTGCGGGGCCTAGGAATGCGTTCATATTTTTTTTCAAAATATAGTCCGGCCCCCCACAAGGTCTGAGGGACGGTGGACCGGCCCCCTGCTGAAAAAGTTTGCTGACCCCTGCGGTAGTCCATTCCAAAGGTTGTTAGCGCACAATGGACAAGTCATCTCTGTTCAAAGGGGGATGTAGATGGCAGCTTTGGGAAACAGTACTTTTGAGAATGTAAGATGAGGCTGCAGGATCAGGCCAGTGGTCTCAAGAAACCAGGACTAAGAAGCATCTCTGCCTCCACGTGCAAAGGGCAGAGCGTAGCTATCCTGGCACATAGCCATTGATAGCCCTGGAAATGGTCTAATTCTCTTTTCAAACCATGTCAGCCATCACTATCTCCTGTGGGAGTGAGTTCCACAGTTGAACTCTGCCGCATGAAGAAATCCTTTCTTTTCTCTGCCTTGAACCTTGCAACATGCAGCTTCACAGGGTGTACCTTTAGGCTGAAGGGGACCCCAATAAGGCTGTTGAAACTGGAGGGTGGCCTGGGAGGAGAAGGAGCAAATGGATTCCTGCAGTTCAGGGGGCTGGACTAGATGACCCCTGGGAACCCTTCAGTTCTATGATTCTAGGTCTAACACTGCTGTATTGGCTACCTTTTACCCCTGTAGCAGCTGCTTCTCTCTCTTGGCCTCTGATCCAACCACCACAATCTCCTAAACACAGCCACACTTTAATGGACCTAATCTTGATTTTAAGAGCCAATGGCTAAATATAGTATAAATAAATACGGAAGCAAGCAAAGTCAAATATAACCTTGCGCCACCCCTGTTTCAGCAGAGGACTTTTGCCAAGATGTGCCCACAGCCTCGTGTGAGCCCTGAAGTGTTGACACCCGGAGTCGGGTTTTTGAGTAGATCCTAGCTATTTTTGTTCCAATAGGAATTTTCGTCCCCTGAATACTTAGCCTTGTGCGATGATATTTCCCTTTCTGATCCTGTTCGATATCTCTGGCTGCTGTTGGCTCAGCCAGCCGTCCAAGCTGAGTGTCAGAAGACACAGGACAGTTAAAAGAAAGGACTTCTTCGCATAGTGCATAGTTAAATTGCGGAACTCGCTTATGCAGGAGGCTGTGACGCCAACCAACTTGGATGCCCTTAAAAGAGGATTGGGCCAATTCATGGAGGAGCTGTGGGCTAGCGATGGTCATGAAATAAATAAATTGAGGTCTTATATACTGTATTTTTTGCTCTATAAGACTCACTTTTTCCCTCCTAAAAAGTAAGGGGAAATGTGTGTGTATCTTATGGAGCGAATGCAGGCTGCGCAGCTATCCCAGAAGCCAGAACAACAAGAGGGATCGCTGCTTTTGCTGCGCGTCTTATGCGTCTTATGGTCTGGTGCGTCTTATAAAGCGAAAAATACGGTATATAATAAATGGTCATAAATGTACCAAGCAAACACGTACATAAAGATATAAACCACATGTCTGAAGCAGCACAGGAAAGCAGCCCTGGCACCATTTTGGCTCCCAGACTGACTGTTTTCTCTGCAAGGTCGAAGGAAAATGGAAAAGCCTCCCCATTGCCTTGTCATCCACAAATCCTGTCTTAAGGGCATGTCTGTGTATGAATAGGGTGAGCCTGTGATCTGGCTCAGGAACTAAGTATTCGTCACTACAAAAGACTAGCCAGGCTCCCCAGGGTATCCAATCAAGCAAGCATTAACAGGTAACCTGCCAGACAGGAGGTAAACAATGCACTCAGATTTCTGTTGTAGACCACTCTTTCTGTGATGTAGGTATGATGTATCTGGGGTGGTGGTCTTGAGCTACACCCCTTCTCTGATGTAGGTAAGGTGCTTCTGGGGGTTGTCTTGGGCTACAGGGTGGGCAATTTCAAAAGTCTATATAAGAGCTTGCACACCATTGTTCTGGGTTCCTCCTCCCTCCTGAGTGTGGGGAGTGAGGATCCTGTTGCAACAGTTTAATAAAGATCAGGCTTAGGAGCTGCTTTGCTTCTCAATATTCTCTGCTTGGCCTCTGTTCTTTTCTCCGACCGATGGAGAACCTGCAAAGGACTCTAAAAGGGCTCTTGTGTCCCCCATAAGGGAATAAGGGCAGATTTTCGTTTATTACAGCTACTAGCCGGGATGCGAAGGAAGAGCGTTGCTCTTGTGTTCGAATCCTGCTTTCAGGTTTCTCACTGGGGAATCTGGTCGGCCGCTGTGAGAAGAGAGTGCTGGACTCCATGGGCCGTTGGCCTGATCCAAGCAGGCTTTTCTTATGTTCCTGTCTTTTCATTCCCATCTTATTCCTTTCTGGATTAACCACCTGATCCCAACCAGTCAGGATTCACGGCATGACCTAGCCAATTAGGGTTGGCCACACAGCGATATCGCCAAGGACAAGGAAAGGCGATTCTAACAAAAAGAAAGAAAGAAAGGGAACTTTTTTCCCCAGAGCTGCTGGAAAATTGCCCAAAAGTCACAGCTTCTAAGAAAAACAACCACCTCAGGTTGTTTTGGCTCATTTCCAGTGTTAACGAAAGGAAGTGTGTTTTCTCAAGTCTCGGACATCCTGACACAGGGTTTAAGTAAATGATTGATGGAGCCCATTATCTGGCGGCATCAGCCGCTTGCGTTCTGCAAGATGTCTTTTCTTGTAAGCCCTCAGGATCAAAGACTTATTTAAAAAAAAAATAGCAAACTACTTGTGGCTCATCTTTCTCCCGGGATATAAGAGCAAAATTGCCCTTTTCACGTCAACATAGCGGTTATTTTCCCTTCTCTGTTAGCTTTTGCTACAGCAACCAGCCAACTCCTTTTTTTTTGAGATAAACAAGGAATTTCAGAAGTTACCAAAATGCTGAAATTCTTGCCATCTCAGAGTTCCTGTCATTTACACCTACCAACCCTCGAGTTCAAGAAAGTAGATGGAAATTCAGTGGGGGCTGATAGTTCAGTTCTAAGTTCATTACATGCCCATGAAGCAGATGTGAATTATGATTATGATTATGATTATTACATTTGTATCCTGTTATTTTCTCCAAAGAGCTCAAGGGGGCTTAGCAGTTCTCCCCTTCCTCATTTATCCTACACAAAAACCCTATGAGGAAACTGAGGCTGAGAGGCAGTGACTGGCCCAAGGACACCCTTCAGGGCCAAGAAGAGATTTGAACCCGGGTCCCCTTAGTCCTAGTCCAACACTCTAACCAAGTACACCCTGGATTTTCTTGGGGGGAAGGGTAGGATGTAAATGCAATGAATCATAATAAAAATACCAAGGAAAACAACAACTTCACAGCACTATAAAGCAGTACAGTGGTACCTCGGAAGTCGAACGGAATCAGTTCCGGAAGTCCATTCGACTTCCAAAACGTTTGAAAACCAAAGCATGGCTTCCGATTGGCTGCAGGAAGCTACTGCAGCCAATCGGAGGCCATGGAAGCCCCGCCGGATGTTCGGCTTCCAAAAATAGTTTTCAAACCGGAACACTCACTTCCGGGTTTGCGTCGTTCAGGAGCCAAAATGTCTGAGAACTGAGCTGTTCGAAAACCAAGGTACGGCTATAATGTGAGCACAGTGCAAGCGCTTTTCCCAATAGAAGGACAGGAGGAAGGAATCTCTCTGCAGCTTCTCTTTTTCACCTGGCCAAAGAAGAAGAAAGTCAGGTTGGCTTCCCCTGGTTCTTCTTCGGAAGAGGTGCTGCTTTAGCCTGTGGTGATTGAATGGGCCCAGGATGGTCTTCGAATCATAGAACCATTGGGCTGGAAGGGACCCCAAGGGTCATCTAGTCCAACCCCCAGGAATCACGGCTAAAGGATCCATGACAGATGGCCACCCAACCTCTGTTCAAAAACTTCCAAGGAAGGAGAGTCCATCACTCTCTGAGGGAGCCTGTTCCAATGTCAGGTGTCTTTTATTTTCAGAAAGCGAATTCTACTTTCCTTGGTTGTCATTGAAATGCAATGGTTAGGGTCCTCCCCTGTGGAGCAGCAGAATACAAGCTTGCTCCAACTTCCGTGTCGGATATTTCATAGAATGATAAAACCATCAAGTTGGAAGGGGAAGCCAAGGGCCATCTAGTCCAACCCCCTGCAATGCAGGAATCTCAGCTAAAGGACCCCGTCAGACGGCCACCCAACCTCTGCTTTAAAACCTTTCAAAGAATGACGAGTTCCTGTAAGAATGTGATGTTCCCTCATTCATTTTGGATCAGCTTTGTTCTCAAAATGAGGATGAACCGTCCCATAATAATGATGTCAAGGAAAAGGCTTGCTGCCCACTTCTGGTGCAACCTGGCAAAAGCAGCCTTCCTAATTCTAGAAGTCTAGTGCTGTCAGAGAGCTGATTTCAGCGGGGAAAGTCCTAGATACCGGATAGGACCGTGTGTCAGTTTAGCACACCTGGACCTGCATAGAGTACCCTTTGGTCAACCAGTGTTGCCTAGTGGTTAGAGGGCTAGACTAGGACCTGAGAGAACAAGGTTCAAATCATCCACTGAGCCACAAAGTCCACTGGGTGACTTTGGCCCAGTCACTGTCTCTCAGCCTAGCTTACTTCACAGCGTTATTGTATGGATAAAAGAGAGAAGGGCAGAAATGTCTAAGCCGCCTTGTGCTCTTTGGAGAAGAGGTGAGATATAAATCTAACAGTGGATGATTTGAACCTTGTGCGCAGCTGACCCTGGACTATAAGGCTACACGGTCAGACTGACAATAGTTTGCAGGATTTCCAGCAGCTGTTACTCAGAAGCATTGCTGCCATCTCTCCTGAAGCAGGGAGTTCCATAGTTCAACAATTATTATTTTTTATTTTTTTTTTATTATTATTATTACATCTGAAGGCAGCCCTGTTTAGGGAAGCTTTTAATGACTGATCTTTTAATGCATTTTTAATCTTTTGTTGGAAGCCACCCAGAGTGGCTGGGGAAACCCAACCAGATGGGCGGGGTAGAAATAATAAATTATTATTATTATTATTATTATTATTATTATTATTATTATAATATTATTATTATTATTATTATTATTATTATTATTATTATTATTATTATTATGTGTGCAACCAGCTAGTTGCAGGGCAAGGCTGAAGACCCCTGGCAACCTGTAAGCAGAGCTGGGCCGTTTACCTTTCCCACCTCTTCCACTCCCAGAGTTACCTGAATTGTGTTGAGGTCAAGATGCCTTTTTGCACTTCAGGACCTCTCTGTTTATTTTGATTAGCGTACAGGGGCTTATTTTTAGCTCGCCGGGATGAATGAACAGCAGCGCAGATGTTTCGGCGTGGAAAAAAAAAGTGTGTGTTTAACCTTGCCATTTATTTTTACGTCCCCCGCCCCCACTTCCGTAGGCAGATAATCAGGATGTGGGTTCCTTGCGCAGCGATAGGCTGCAGTTTCTCAGTTTGGCGGCGCAGAAACCTGCATAAAAATTCAAAGGACACAAGACGCCGTCTTATACTGAGTCAGACCGTCATGCCAACCCGCTGAGTGTGGCCTGCACTTACCTGAGCTCCCAGCCTCACTGGGAGATCTGTCAGGGATTCACAGAATCATAGAATTGTAGAGTTGGAAGGGACCCCCCGAAGATCATCCAGTCCAACCCCCCTGCGGCGCAGGAGTGCAAAGCAGATATACTCTGTTGCTGAGATTTGCCCTTTCGCCAGGGGCTGTAGAGGAAGGCAAAGAAGAACATCAGAAAAGCCTGCAGGATGAGGCCAATGGCAGATCCAGTACTGCATTACCAAAAGGGAGATTAAGACTAAAGGTTTTCTGACGGTAAGAGCCATTCAACAGACTTCCTCGGGAGGTGGTGGGCTCTACCTTCCTTGGAGCTTTTTAAGCAGAGGTCGGGTTGCCATCTGTCAGGGATGCTTGAGCTGAGATTCCTGCATTGCAGGGGGTGGACTAGATGGCCCTCGGGGGTCCCTTCCAACGGCATGATTCTGCAAACCTGATCTCACCGTGACAAAGATTCCTGTGAGAAACCCACAAGCAGGATCCAAGCACGAGAGGAACACTCTCCTCTGGTTTCCAGCCGGTGTCGGATTTACATATAAGCTATATAGCTTGGGGGGGGTTATACTTCTTAATTGTATTTTAGATCAACAATTACTTGGATAAAACACATATTTTGTGATGTGAAAATGGCTTGAGATACCTATGAGGTCCATAAATAACCATACAGCATATATTCAACACAAAAACAGCGACCATTTGTTGTGGACAAAGGGCAGCTGGACATAAAAAGGGCCCCATTGCCTTCAGGAGCTGAGGGCCTCACCAAACCTCAATCCGGCCCTGTTTCCAGCAACTGAAATTCAGAAGCATTGCCGCCGCCAACTGTGGGGGCAGAACGCAGCCATTGTGGGTATGTGAACAACCTGAGTCTGGTCCCCATCAGCCTCTGCAAGATGGGCCAGAGGACAGGGACGCCAGCCGAGGCTCACTGGTCAAAGTTTGTAGGATGCCATAACCATTGAAAAGAGTTCTGCCAGAACACCATGACCGAGAAGTTCCAAGATCCTCCCTCCCCATATTTTGTTACCCCCTGAATGGGATGGAGAAACTGCAGGGGTGGTTTTGGGCTACCCTTAGCATCTACAAATATATTCCGAGTGTGTGTGGTTGTTTTGTGACATTTAAAACACAGCAGTGGGGTTCTAGATTTAAAGAGGGTGCTGTGGGTTAAACCACAGAGCCTAGGACTTGTCGATCAGAAGGTCGGCGGTTCAAATCCCCGCGATGGGGTGAGCTCCCGTTGCTCGGTCCCTGCTCCTGCCAACCTAGCAGTTCAAAAGCACGTCAAAGTGCAAGTAAATAAATAGGTACCGCTCCGGCGGGAAGGTAAGTGGTGTTTCCGTGCATTGCTCTGGTTCACCAGAAGCGGCTTAGTCATGCTGGCCACATGACCCAGAAGCTGTACGCTGGCTCCCTCGGCCAATAAAGCAAGATGAGCGCCACAACCCCAGAGTCGGTCACGACTGGACCTAATGGTCAGGGGTCCCTTTACCTTTACTTTATCTAAAGCTTTTATCGGCAGAGAGAAACCTCTTTCTCCATGGCTTCCTCTGCTGAAGAATCCCAGGACCTTCACCCAGGAATGTTCATAGTATCATCGAATTGTAGAGTTGGAAGGGAACACCAAGAGTCATCTAGCAATGCAGGGATCTCAGCTCAAGCATCCATGACAGATGGCCACCCAACCACAGCTTAAGCACCACCAATGAGGGAGAGTTCACCACCTTCCAGGGGGTCCCTTACCGCCAGAAAGTTCTTCCTAACCTTTAGTTGCTCTCTCCTTTCTCCTCTTTAATTTCTGCAAAGCTCGTCTCTTTGATGCCAGCTGAAGGCCATTTTTATTCACCCAGGCATTTTGAGCAGCTTGGATTTTCTAAAGTTATAATCTCTGCTTCTTCTGTTACCGTTTCTGGTTTACCATATTATTAGTTTATTTCCCCGCTTCCTCCACCCGAAGGGAGAAATTTCCATTTTATTGGCTTTGCGTTTTAAAATATGGCACTTTCTTCTTTCGATGGTTGCCACTGTTAACGGAGAAATCTGAGGGCTCCTTTGGACAAAAAAAACAAGGACACCAGCCAGGAATACCAGAGCAAAACAGCAGCCAGTCGGCTTGGTCTTTCTTGAAGACGGTCGCGACAAGACTCCCACCTGCCACAAGGTGGAGCAAGATGGAAGCCCCGAACAAAAGAACCCCCAAACTTTTATTAGCTGCTAATCCCCATGTTACACCCCCCAAAACTACATCATTCATACATCACGGTTACATCATGAAAGGGGAGGTCTGGTGGCAGTAATCTGAGCATCCTGGACCCTGCCCCATGGTTCTCCTTGCCCTCTACCAAACACCCATCAAGTGGAACAAAAGAGATATTTACATTTCCCTGTTTCCCAGCCAAGTTACCAGGTAATCACACCCTTTTGTCTTCATCTGGGTTTCTTATTTCTGGAATGGCTACCTGTCTGGCACTCAGGTATCAGGATGCCAGGGATTATCACTCAGGCAGAGGGGGTGCTGAGTAGCTGAGCTCACAGGTCTAGATGAATTTCTGAAGTTGTCCCTATGAGCCATTACAGTACATAGATACATTGATCAGTGAATTCTTACATTTGGTATCGTGCAGCAAAGGCCCTTTGAACAGATAGGAAGAAACTGAGATGAAGTGTTTTGTGGGGAATAAAGCACAAAAGTCACAAAAGCGATTGTGCTGATTTTGGTAGTGGGCTGCGTGTGCATGATATCTGCTGGAGGGGCAATCTCACCCCCCCCATACATAAATTCCTGCAACACCGTGCAAGTGTAGCTGATAATACCTGAGTCAGTAAATACGCATCTTGAATTTCCCCCACCTTGGAGTGGGCACCCAGCTGTGTGGGACTGGACCGGGCAAAGGACTGTGGCGCTGCTTTCTTTTGCAGATGCTGCGTTGCCAGCGAGTGGCTGGGTACCTCGTCTTGGCCATCACCCTCTTCCAGTGGCAATCCAGGACAACTTTCCAGGTAGCGGCATTGCAAGAGGTAAGCGGTGATCTCAAAAAAGGCCCAGCTGTTTCTGGCAAGCCCAGATTTCTGCACCGAAGACGTTCTCCTATGGCTGGGATTTCTTATTTCAAAGCGCCCTCGAGCGGTCAGAGTTCAAATCTCTCTCTCTCTTTTTAAATGCTCTTAAAAGCAGTTTGAAAAGACCATAAGAAGAGTTTTGCTGCCATCAATCCTCCTTCTTCCTCTATGCTAGAGGCAAGGACAATTAAAAGTGCCTTTAAAAGAGGAACAGGCAAATTCCCGGAAGAGGAGAAAGTTGGTGGTGCCAGGTCAGCACTGAAGTTATAAGTCTCCGATGCCAGAGAAGTAAACTCTTTACTCAAATAAACCCAAATACAGCTCAGGTCCACGCAACCCTTTTATTTCTTAAAGTATTTGCAGATTGATCAATACAGATCACTTTAATTCCAGCCAGGAAAGAATTACCTATGTCCATTTTCTCTAACACCTTAATCAAAAATGACCAAGGCTTTCTCCACATCTAAAAATATTAAGGCGGCCTGTTTTTCATTTCTCACTTCCAAATACTCTATTAGGTTAATTACATTTCTTATATTGTCCTTCATTTATCAGCCTGGTGAGAACCCGACTTGGTCTCTGTGGACTGACTCAGTCAGTGTCTTTTTTAGTCTGTTAGCTATAATTGTACCAACTAGTTTATGATCACAGTTCAGTAAAGAAATAGGTCTGTAATTTTTTTGTCTTTGTTAAGTCACCATCTTGCTTAGGGATCAGGGTAATAAATGACCCGGGAATTACTCCAGTCACCAAAATTCTATTCCTGGTGTCCTTAAGTAGTTCAAGAAGTGCATCCTGGAACTTTTTATAATAAATTGCTGAAAGTCCATCTGGCCCTGGTGCTTCATTCTATTTATGATGTTGTTGTTGTTGTTGTTTAGTCGTTTAGTCGTGTCCGACTCTTTGTGACCCCCTGGACCAGAGCACCCCAGGCACTCCTGTCTTCCACTGCCTCCCACAGTTTGGTCAGACTAATGTTGTTACTTCGAGAACACTGTCCCACCATCTCGTCCTCTGTCGTCCCCTTCTCCTTGTGCCCTCCATCTTTCCCAACATCAGGGTCTTTTCCAGGAAGTCTTCTCATGAGGTGGCCAAAGTATTGGAGCCTCAGCTTCAGGCTCTGTGCTTCCAGTGAGCACTCAGGGCTGATTTTCTTCAGAATGGAGAGCTTGGATCTTCTTGCAGTCCATGGGACTCTTAAGAGTCTCCTCCAACACCATAATTCAAAAGCATCAATTCCTCGGCGATCAGCCTTCTTTATGGTCCAGCTCTCACTTCCATACATCACAACTGGAAAAACCATAGCTTTAACTATATGGACCTTTGTTGGCAAAGGTCCGTATAGTTATTCTATTTATACCCATTTGTAATTCCAATATCGATATGGGTGCATTCAGGCTTAGTCGATTTTCTTTGGGTACTCGGAGTATATTACAGTCACTTTCCCAGGAGGTCTTGCCCCAATGACATGGTTGCAAGGTCCCTGCCTTCCCATCCCTCTCTAAGCTCTTCCGCTCCAGGTTTTCCCCACTCAGTCTCAAACTGCATCTGCGTACAACTGTTCTGCTCTTTTCATTTCTCTACGCGTTCTTGGAGACCAGCAGGGAGGGGAGCTGGTTACAGCAGGAGGGGGGGACCTCCCTGGCTCCCTCAGCATCCTGCCTCATGGCTGCCTCTGTCCCTGCTCCTCTTCAGCCTTTGCTTCTGCCTTTGATTCTGGACTGCCCTCTGCCACAGCCTCTTCCTGCTCACTTAGACCTGTTACCTCTTCAGCTTCCAACACCTCCTCCTCCTCCTCCCTGTCTTCTCTCTCTGACCATCCATTGTTGGCCCACCACCTGTCCCTTGACTCTTCACTTGGGAATTCCCTTACGGGTTCCCCGGCTGGTGTCTCCCAGCACTCCTCCGAATCCAGCCAGTCCATGGCAGAGAGTTATGTTAAGGATGTAAGAACTTAAGACCCTCCTGGATCAGGCCAATCCGGTGCTTTTTCTTCTGGGGCTACTCAAGGGCACGCAGTACCAGCACCTTTCTTTCTAGAAGAAAAGCACTGCCCATGACTGCGCAAAATATGCAGCAAAGTCAAGTGTGGAAATAGAGGTTCTAACACCTTTAAAATGTGCCCCTGTAAGGTACAGTGGATGCATGGGTTGCGAACGTGATCCGTGAGGGATGCATGTTCCCAACCCGCAGCTTTCGCAACCCACAGTGGTGCATCTGCACACGCATGGGCTGCGATTCGGCGCTTCTGCACATGTGCGACCGCCGAAACCTGGAAGTAACCTGTTCCGGTACTTCTGGGTTCCGGCAGTCCGTAACCAAAAAAAACGCAACCTGAAGCATCTGTAACCCGAGGTATGGCTGTAGTTCCAGTTTCTTTCCAAAGTTTCATGCTTTCCCCAGTACTGGAAAAAGACCACACCTCTGGTAAGTTAAAAAATGGTTTACCTCATACCTCATGTTGCGTTAGGTTCATGTTGCGTCTTTTCAGTTTGCGAACGTGGCAAACCCAGAAGTGTATACTTCCGGGTTTCGCCGTGCGTGCATGTGCAGAAGCATTCTGCGCACTTCGCACATGCGCAAAAGCACTCTATTGCATCACGCGTGTGCGCAGAAGCGGCACTCTAGTTACAGACTTATCAGGATGCGAACAGCACCCCAGAACAGATCAAGTCCTTAACTAGAGGTACCACTATACTCACAAACTCTCCAAAGGTCAGGTTCATGCACTTTTCCATAAAGCTTTCAGAAAAAGCTGCACAGGCAGTAAAACTTAACTTAGTTTTAAAAAATGGTGAAAGTTCCTAGATTATTGGTACAGGAACACAAGAGGGGTTTGCAAGAGAATGTTTTTTGGCAGATGTCAAAAATAGAACAGTTAAGGTACCTACCTGACATCAACAGGCAGGGAGTTCCAAAGTGTAGGCTCAGTTATTGTTATTGTTATTGTTATTGTTATTGATATTGATAATTATGTTGTTGTTTAGTCGTGTCCACCTCTTCGTGACCCCCTGGACCAGAGCACGCCAGGCCCTTCTGTCTTCCACTGCCTCCCGCAGTTTGGTCAAACTCATGCTGGTAGCTTTGAGAACACTGTCCCACCATCTCATCCTCTGTCGTCCCCTTCTCCTTGTGCCCTCCATCTTTCCCAACATCAGGGTCTTTTCCAGGGAGTCTTCTCTTCTCAGGAGGTGGCCAAAGTACTGGAGCCTCAGCTTCAGGATCTGTCCTTCCAGTGAGCACTCAGGGCTGATTTCCTTCCAAATGGATCGGTTGGATCTTCTTGCAGTCCATGGGACTCTCAAGAGTCTCCTCCAGCACCAGAATTCAAAAGCATCCGTTCTTTGGCAATCAGCCTTCTTTATGGTCCAGCTCTCACTTCCATACATCACTACTGGGAAAACCATAGCTTTAACTATACGGACCTTTGTTGGCAAGGTGATGTCTCTGCTTTTTAAGATGCTGTCTAGGTTTGTCATTGACTGATAATTATAGTAATCCATAAATAATAGCTGGAAGATCATTCTTTTCTCCTTTGCAGCAGCCTTCGGCTCCTTCCTCTCCCCCGGGTGAGGGTCGTCTGTCTCTGTCTGGCCAGGAGAAGCCAGCTGCCGACTTGGTCGCAAAGCTTCTCCTCTTCGACGAGCTGGTGTCCCTCGAAAATGATGTCATCGAGACGAAAAAGAAGCGGAGTTTCTCGGGGTTTGGCTCCCCTCTCGATAGGCTTTCGGCTGGCTCCCTGGACCTGAAAGCCAAGCAGAGGTGAGCTGTGAGGAAGAACTGGATCTCAGAGTCATGGAACTGCAGAAGAGACCCAAAGGTTGCTTTCTATGCACAGGAAGAACTCTGCACATGCTTAAATTGCACTCCCTTATGGATGCTGGTAGTTTTGTAAGCAAGAATGTGTGTACAACGAAGGACTCACCCAAACCTCCATTTGCTCTGCTGCTTCCCCCCAGGAACCCTATGGTTTAGTGCTGAATCGGAACAAATGGCAATCATGTTTTTCACAGACTGCTGTTTGTTCCAATTTAGCGCTAAAGAGCGGGTTTTGGTGGGTGGGAGGAGAAGCAGGGCAAAGGCAAAGCCACTGTGCCTAGGAAGCATGGGACTAGTGGGAAGGAGCTCAGACCCGTGTCTTCCAGGAAGGGGACAAGCAGAAGGGGGCTTGCAATGCTGAAACAAATTTGCAATAATATGCACCGCGCACTTCTGCACCGTACGTAAATTAATTTGTGTCATACTCAAAATACAAATGGAGGCAGCCATTCGTCAAAGGAAGCAGAAAGCTTTCCATCGGCCTTCCCCAACCTGGTGCCCTCCAGCTGTTTTGAACTACGGATCTCATCAGCCCCAATAAGCAAGACTGAGTCTTGCTGTTCTTCTTTGGTGATCCTTCGTAGCCGACTAAGATTGTCTTCCATAAACACGGTTTTAACAGTGAGTCCTTAAGTGACTGTGGAGGCCAATTCTGGATCCACATGCCCTTCCACAGTGGGGACATAGGTTTCCGGGTAGGAGTTGATCCCGGTGAGGGTTTGCCAAACGTGCCTTCCTCTTAGCACGTTTCTCCCTTGTGTCCTGAGTTCAAGCGTCTTCAAAGCCCGTGGTGCCTTTGGTAAAGGCTGTTCTCTAACTGGAGCACTTGCAGGCCAGTGTTTCCCAATTGTTGGTGTTTATACTACTTTTTTTAGCTTTCCCTTGAGATCTTTCAACCTCTTTTGTTGACCACCAGCATTACGCTTTCCATTTTTAAGTTCGGAATAGAGTAGTTGCTTTGGAAGACGATCATCAGGCATCCACACAACATGACCAGTCCAACGAAGTTGGTGTTGAAGAATCATTGCTTCAGCACTGGTGATCTTTGCTTCTTCCACTACACTAGCATTAGTTTGCCTGTCTTCCCAAGTGTTGTGTAAAAATTTTCGGAGACCCGGTTGATGGAATCTTTTGAGGAGTTGGAGATGGCGTTTAGAAGTGGTCCATGTTTCACAAAGGGATGCAGGTGGCGCTGTGGGTTAAACCATAGAGCCTAGGGCTTGCCCATCAGAAGGTCGGCGGTTCGAATCCCCGTGACGGGGTGAACTCCCGTTGCTCGGTCCCTGCTCCTGCCGACCTAGCAATTCGAAAGCACTTCAAAGTGCAAGTAGATAAATAGGTACCGCTCCGGCGGGAAGGTAAACGGTGTTTCCGTGCGCTGCTCTGGTTCACCAGAAGCGGCTTAGTCATGCTGGCCACATGACCTGGAAGCTGTACGCCAGTGAGATGAGTGAGATGAGCGCCGCAACCCCAGAGTCGGTCACGACTGGACCTAATGGTCAGGGGTCCCTTTACCTTTATGTTTCACAAGCATACAGTGAAGATTGAGCCTTGCTGTAGCTTGAGATGGCCACAAGAGGGAGCACGTCCCCACCAAAAGTTCTCTGCCAATGAGCTTTGCTCTGTGGAAACCCCATGAAAGTGACAGTCGCAAATGCGTTCCAATTCCAATTGGAACACTTTGTGATACTTTGGGTCTTTTAGGGCCCTGCAAAAGAAACAGAGGTCTTGCGCATGCTGGATCCTAGCACTCATTGCACTAGTTCTAATGTTTATAAGGCCGCAAATGAGAAACCTGCAAGCAGGATTCGAACACAAGACCAACACTCTCCCCTTCTGTGGTTTCCACCATCTGGAATTCAGAATCATCACTGCTTCCAGCTGTAGAGGCAGAGAAGAACCAGGTTGGCTAGGAGCCATCCATAGTTTGAAAAGAACAAATTCATGGCTGGGAGGGATATCTAGGTTACTGACCATCATTGCTTCCTGCAGAAGTGAGTTCCAGGGTTCAGCTATGCTCTGAGTAAAGAAGGGCTTTCTTTTCTCTGCCCTAAACCTTCCAACGTTCAGCTTCGCTGGGTGTTCACTGGTTCTAGTACCATCAGGGAGAAAACCACCCTCTATTCTCTTCCCCCAGGCCATGAATAATTTTATAAGCATCTGCACACAGAACTTCCTTGCAGAAGAGTCGTCTCAGCCCCCTGACTGTTTTGGCTGGGGCTGGTGGGTAAATATCTGGAGGGCACCACTTTGGGGGCGGTTAGGATGGAGCTTATGCAGCAAAGGGGCAACGGGATATCCCAATTAATTGCATCTCATTCCGCAGGAAAGTTGTGGAAATTCCAAAGAGACGGTTTGGAATCCCCCTTGACCGGATCGGAGTGAACCGTCTGAGCAACACCAGAGGTTAGCAGACGTGGGTAAGATAAAAGCGGACTTGCAGGGCCTGTTCCTTGGCTGCAGCCTATTATTATTATTATTATTATTATTATTATCATCATCATCCCTGGATTGCCCCAGCCACTCTGGGCGGCTTCCAACAGATAGGCAGCTTCCAGGGGGTTGGAAATTATTCTGTGTATCGGTTTCTTCCCCGCCTCCTTCAAATGAGCCAACAGCGTGATGCGGCGGCAAAAAAAGCTAATGCGATTCTAGGCTGCATCCACAGAAGTCTAGTGTCCAGATCAAGGGAAGTCATCGCATCACTCTAGTCTGTCTTGGTCAGACCACACCTGGAGTGCTGGGTGCAGTCAGTGGCGGATTTGGGGCTTTCGGATTTCAGAGGAACCCTTTGTGACACCAAAATTCAGCCCCTCCACCACCACTGCTGCCTCTTGCCTTCCATTTTACATCATTGTTGCAGCCCCCCCGCCCAAGAGCCCCCTCTCAGATCAGAGCCCATTACGAGTGAGACGGTCACACTGCCCCATATCCTCCTCTGGCCCAATTCTGGCCCAATTCAAAAGGCTGTTGACAAGCTGGGGAGCATGAAGGGGAGGGTGACCAAGATGATCAAGGATCTAGAAGCCAATAATAATAATAATAATAATAATAATAATAATAATAATAATTTATTATTTACCAGTATACCCCACCCATCTGGCTGGGCTTCCCCAGCCACTCTGGGCGGCTTCCAACAAAATATTAAAATACAATAATGCTTCCCTAAACAGGGCTGCCTTCAGATGTCTTCTAAAAGTCTGGTAGTTGTTGTTCTCTTAGACATCTGGTGGGAGGGAGTTACACAGGGCGGGTGCCACCACCGAGAAGGCCCTCTGCCTGGTTCCCTGTAACTTCGCTTCTCGCAGAGAGGGAACCGCCAGAAGGCCCTCGGAGCTGGACCTCAGTGTCCGGGTAGAACAATGGAGGTGGAGACGCTCCTTCAGGTATACAGGACCGAGGCTGTTTAGGGCTTTAAAGGTCAGGACCAACACTTTGAATTGTGCTCGGAAATGTACTGGGAGCCAATGTAGGTGTTTCAAGTTATGTGGTCTCGGCGGCTGCCCCCAGTCACCAGTCTAGCTGCCGCATTCTGGATTAATTGCAGTTTCCGGGTCACCTTCAAAGGTTGCTCCACGTAGAGCACATTGCAGTAGTCCAAGCGGGAGATAACCAGAGCATGCACCACTCTGGCCAGACAGTCTGCGGGCAAGGAGGGTCTCATCCTGCGTACCAGTTGGAGCTGGTAGACAGCTGCCCTGGACACAGAATTGACCTGCGCCTCCATGGACAGCTGTGAGTCCAAAATGACTCCCAGGCTGCACACCTGGTCCTTCAGGGGCACAGTGACCCCATTCAGGACCAGGGAGTCCTCCACACCCACCCGCCCTCTGTCCCCCAAAAACAGAAACCAAGGAACAGTTGGGGGAGCTGGGTATTGATATCAGGCCTAGGCGTGACGTCAAGAGGCAGGGAGTTCCAAAGTGCATGACAATGACCAGGTGTGCTGCCTTGCCCCCGTTCCAGAGGGTGCACACTGCCTCGTAGAACTTTGGGGGCTGCCCAGCCCCTTCGTTGAAAATTTGTGGGTGCCTGGGCCCCCAAGGCCCAGCATAGATGGCGCCTACAACAATGTCCACGCCAGGCATCATTTTATAAACCTTAAGCATTTCACCTCTTCCTGGTGTGAGGAATGCAGGAAGCACTTGGGCGAATGGTTGTAACAAATATTACGCGTTCCTGTAGGGCAGCCTTTGCTACTCTGGCACTCTCCAGGTGGGCAAGGGGTGCCTTAGGGCATAGGGCATTGCAAGGGGTGAGGCTCTCACGCATCTCCCCTTCTTTGCCCTGGGGAGGAGACTCATAGAATTATAGAAGTGTAGAGATGGAGGGGACCCCAAGGGTCATCTAGTCCAACCCCCTGCAATGCGGGAATCTCAGCTAAAGCATCCATGACAGATGGCCTGGTCAGGAGCTCACCCTCCTCTTGAGTAGGACCCTGGCAGAAACACATACCCGACTGGCATGTTCTCTCCTTCCTGGTCGATCGTTCAGGAGCTTCATAAGCTTTCTTCTGCCTGAACATCACAGCAACTGATGCCAACAGACACCGGCACACTTAGGGATCTGCAGAGTCTTTGCAGCTTGCGTAACAGACCTCAGCAACTTAGCATTTTGGCTAATCTACTTTATTTACAGGGATGCGGGTGGAGCTGTGGGTTAAACCACAGAGCCTAGGACTTGCCGATCAGAAGGTCGGCGGTTTGAATCCCCACGACTGGGTGAGCTCCCGTTGCTCAGTCCCAGCTCCTGCCAACCTAGCAGTTCGAAAGCACGTCAAAGTGCAAGTAGATAAATAGGTACCGCTCCAGCGGGAAGGTAAACGGCGTTTCTGTGCGCTGCTCTGGTTCGCCAGAAGCGGCTTAGTTATGCTGGTCACATGACCCGGAAGCTGTACGCTGGCTCCCTCAGCCAATAAAGCGAGATGAGCGCCGCAACCCCAGAGTCGGTCACGACTGGACCTATTGGTCAGGGGTCCCTTTACCTTTTATTTTATTTACATATAAACACACACGGAGCACTGCAACATGGCTCCCTCTCTCTCTAGCATCCGACAGCAAAGAGAAAAAGAACAAAGGACAATAGTCCCGCTTCACGGAACACAGGAACACAAACATCCTGCCTCCATCACTTCCCACTCTGTGGAGTCAAAACCTACACCGTCATGGGATAGACAACAATCCCATGACTGCAAACACGGAGCAGGAATTCTAACAGGGCTTCTATATTGCAGGGCACACCCACAAGAAGCTAAAAAGAAAACAGCCAAGAGGGGCCCTCAAACCTCCTTATTCAAGCTTGAAAAGCTCTAACTGGGAGGAGGCTGTGCGCATGTCCAGCTTGGGGGCTTTACAATGGGGACGTCTTGGTTGACCCCCATGAGAACAGAATGATGGACCAGATGTGCCTTGGCCCTGATGAGAGCCTGGCTGGATCAGACCCATGGTCCATGCAGTCCAGCATCCTGTTCTCAGCAGTGGCCGACCAGGTACCCCTTTGGGGAAGAAGAAGAAGAAGAAGAAGAAGAAGAAGAAGAAGAAGAAGAAGAAGAAGAAGAATTTATTTATACCCTGCCCATCCGGCTGGGTCCTTGCAGCCACTCTGGGCGGCTTCCAACAAAACACTAAAATACAATAACCTTGAAGGAGGACCTGGGCACAAAAAACCTCTTCTCGTCTCCTGTGACTTCCAGCAAGAGCTGTTCAAGCTGTTCAGGAGCTCATTGATCCAGCTACAAGGCTCCTCTTATGGGTTTCTTTTCTCTCCCCCCCCCATGACTTCCCCCCCCTACAGGTTTGCCCGCCCTGGTGGACGCCCTCCGCAGAACATCTCCCACTGCCAAAGGCACTTCCGCCAGTCCCACCGCCACTCCCAGGGACTTTGCAGTTCAGAAACAGGCCTCCTAAAACCAAACAAACATGCCTCCAGTTCTCGTTATAGCAGGATCTGCCCACTAGACCACACTTCCTTCCAGCTGACGCTCTGCTCTCCTGAATAAGGGAACAGAAAGTGGTTTTTTTTGTCTGTTTGTCTGCTTGTTTGTTTATATGTATATAACAATTTCATTTGCATGCCACTTTTTTTTTTAAAAAAAATGACTTTTGGGAGTCTAATAGGGCTATCAGAATGCAGTGCAGCAAAATAGCAAGGTGGTGTTGTTGACTCTGGAGCAACATTAATAAGCAAAGCTTCTTATTTCCACACACACAACCCCTTTTCACCTGGTTACTGGTCCCCCATCTCAGGTCAGCTCAGGACCTCTGCTCAAGTTAGCATCCTTCCCATAGCTGTCAACTTTTCCCTTTTCCTGCGAGGAATCCTATTCGGAATAAGGGAATTTCCCTTAAAAAAGGGGAAACATTGACAGCTATGATCCTTCCCCATCATTACGATCCAAGCGCAACCTCCTGGCTGGCATTTCCTTCCTAAAGTTCTCCCCGTCTGGGTCCTGCTGGTGGGGATTTTCTCATGTGGAGCAGCAATTGCAGGTAATCGCGTTAAGAGGAGCCGAGTGGGTCAGGCCAAGAGCTCCTTGAGTCCAGCATTGCCTTCTCCCAGGGGACAACCAGATGTGGAGCCAAGACCCCTTTCTCCTCCTGCGTTTGCAGCATCTGGTACCCAGACCCATCCCTGCCTCCAACTGTGGAAGCCCAGCCATCAAGACCAGTAAATAAATAATAAATAATTTTTTATTTATACCCCACCCTTCCCGGTTCAGAAAACCGGTCTCAGGGCAGCTAACAGCAAATTTAAAACGCTTAATTGATGCAACAAAAAAACAGCATAAAATACAGTATAAAACGTGAATAACGATAAATTCAGAATTCAAAAATCAATTTAGGGGAGGAAATCCATCCAATAAACATTAGATCACCAGGGCTAGCTGGCTCAATTAGTTCTACTTGGGCCAGCGAGGAGACCAGGGAGAATTAGCTGTGGGATCCCAGAGCGGGGAATCTTTATAAAATGGGGAGGGGGAGGGAAGGATGGGGAATAAAAGATCAGGCTAAGTTCAAATGGAAAGCCAGGCGGAATAGCTCTGTCTTACAGGCCCTGCGGAAGGAAGTGAAATCCTGCAGGGCCCTGGTCTCCTGGGACAGAGCATTCCACCAGGTCGGAGCCACCACTGAGAAGGCCCTGGCCCTGGCGGAGGATAGTCTGACTTCCTTAGGGCCCGGGACCTCTAAACTATGATTATTCATGGACCTTAAGGTCCTCTGCGGGGCAGACCAGGAGAGGCAGTCCCATAAATATGAGGGCCCTAAGCCACAAAGGGATTTAAAGGTCAAGACCAGCACCTTGAACCTGACCCGATACTCCACCGGGAGCCAATGCAACTGGTAAAGCACTGGGTGAATATGCTCCCATGGCAGGGACCCCGTAAGGAAACTCGCTGCAGCATTCTGCACCCGCTGGAGTTTCTGGGACAGTTTCAAGGGCAGCCCCGCGTAGAGCGAATTACAGTAGTCAAGCCTGGAGATGACCGTTGTGTGGATAACTGTGGCCAGGGCGGGGTGGGAAAGGTAAGGAGCTCTCTCCTCCCCCATGAATTTGCCTCATCATCTTTTAAAGTGATCCAAGTTGGGGGGGGGAGAGAGAGAAACTGCCCCCGCAGCAAGTCCTGTCTATCTGGTAAGCAGCTTACGACCATGACGGACACCATGTGGAATCATAGGAATTTGCCTTGCCTTCTGACCTCATCTCTTTCAACAGCCTCTCTCTCTCTCTGGCTCTCAGCCCTGTTCTCATTCTCCGCTTCCTCTCTCCTCTCCTTAGAATCATAGAATTCTAGCGTTGGAAGGGGGACCCACCCGGTCATCTAGTCCAACCCCCTGCAGTGCAGGAATCGCAGCTCACGCCCTCCTTAAAGCTGCTTTACGTGGGCACACAGAGCATCACTGATTCTTCCAACTCTGAACTGTCTCTTTTGGTTCGATGCTGGAGACTGAAGCTTGGGGCCTTCTGCATGCAGAGCAGGTGTCCTGTGACTCTGCTTTCCAGATGGTGCCAGTTTCCTCAGCTTTGAAGTTTTGCTTCCTGCAACGTCGTATTTTCTCTTGAACTGCCTTCATTATTTTAACCACTGAAATCTTACATGTCACAAATGGAAAAAGAAACAGAAACTGGGTGTTTGGGGGGACGACAGTGCTTTGTCCTTGTTGATTGAGTCTCTCTCTCTCTCTCTCTCCAAGAATAGCTCTGTATTTTCCTGACTTATGTCCTTGGAGATGCTCATTATTCTAGAGCGATGGAAGAGCTGGATAAACTCCATCATGTTCAAATAAAGCATAACGTGTCATATGTGGCTGGCTATCCTTCTTCCTTCTCCATATTAGCTGTGTTTATAACACAATGTCACTTAGGACAGGGGTGCCCAAACTTTTCCCAAAGAGGGCCAGATTTGATGAAGTGAACATGCGTGAGGGCCGACCGTTTTGCCTGACATTTTTTTTTAAAAAAATAATTTTTTATTAGATTTTCCACAATGATAACACAAACCACAAAGCAAAATGATACACAAAAACAGAAAAAAGAAAAAAAGAAAAAGGAACAATAAACAGATAAACAATAACAACAAACTTCATTCTTTAAACATCTTGGTTGACTTCCTCAAATCCCTCCCTTCTGAGTTTCCTTGTAGTTAAAAGTAACAGCTTTCCAATATCATTATTAAACTAAAACAATTTCCAGTTATAGTCTATCTTATTCACTTTTCTTAACATTCTAAATCCCATTTATTTGATTATAACTTAGTTTAATCCTAGGCCTATTTCTTTCTTTCCAGTAATTTCTAATTTTTTATATTACAATATTTATTCAAATAGTCCTTAAATTTCCTCCACATTTTGCCTGACTATTTGATTGTTCCCCCAAAGTTGTTGACCTTTTTCCTTTTTTTAGGATTGAAGTTCTTGACCATGTTTTAGGATTGTTCCCCCAAAGTTGTTGATTGTTGAGCTTTTTTTAGGACAATGCAGGGTCTCACAATCCTTAAGAAACGCCTTTTGGAATAGCGGAAATGATGGGCGGGAGTGAGAGGTGAACAACAGGTTCCAATCGCGCAGTGCCACCACCGGAGACGCACCAATCACAGCCTGCCCAACCTGCCACTAACCTTCCTTGGCAGAGTGTTGGCTCCAGGGGAGAGCCAGCAGAACAGCAGGCAGGTGCTCAGGAGCCGCAACAGATTGATTTTTTCCAAATTGCCTGTGGGGCCTATTTAAACCGGGCCCCGGGCCACAAATGGCCCCCAGGCCGGACTTTGGACATGCCTGACTTAGGACAACAGTACTGGGAGGGAAGCCAACAATTCAGCCAGGCAAAGGGTCCGGCTGTTAAAATTCCTGCTCCATGACTGCAGTCATGGGATTGTTGTCTATCACATGACGGTGTACATTTTGATTCCACAGAGCGGGACGTGACAGAGACAGGATGTTTATGTTACTGTGTTCCATGAAGTGGGACTATTGTCCTTTGTTCTTTCTCTATTTGCTGTCTGATGAGAAAGAGGAAGGAGCTAAGTCAGAATGCTCTGAGTGTATTATATGTAAATAAAGTAGATTAGCCAAAATGCTGAGTTGCTGAGGTCTGTTACGCAAACGGATCTCTAAGTGTGCTGATGTCTGTTGGCATCGGTCACTGTGATGTTCGGGCTGAAAAAAGCTTTTGAAACTCCTGAACGACAGACCAGGAGGGAGAGAACTTGCCAGTCGGGCATGTGTCTCTGCCAGGGTCCTACACGAGCGTAGGACGATCCTAACAGCAGCAACCAAGCCTTATGAGGAAGGGTTGAGGGAGTTAGGTATTCACCTGGTGTGCTGCGCAGGCTGCCCCCAGCTCCCTAAGCCACCTGGCTGGCCTCAGGTACGGTGCAGGATGGGGGCCCATCACCTGTGCTGAAGTCAGGTTCAGCTGCCAGCCCGGTCGGCTTTGGCACACAGAATGAGGTCCTGGCGTTGTCCTGTCTTTTGCCTGCAGAGCAGAATTAATTGATGGGATTTGCTGCCTCAAGGTGAGGCGACGCTTTAGGAGGTTTTAAAACGCAACTCGGCAAATTCACCGAAGAGAAATCCATCCGTGGGCGTTAGCCTCAACCTCTGAATCAAACCATATAAATGCCACGTGGAGGGGAGAAAACAAAAGGCAGGGGTTTGTTGCCTGCCAAGGAGCCTCCTGGAAGCATCTCAGGGGCCCCGTTGGACAGAAGATGCTGAGGCAGATGGATAGGACCCAGTAGGTGTCTTCTTAGTTCTCACCTGCTCTTGCAAAGAACATGCTTTGTGTATGTGGAATGCCTGCCAGTAAAATGAGAATAGGCATCAGAAAATAAGAAAAGCCCTGCTAAATCAGGGTAGTTGAGAGTTAAGATTCCTCCATTGCAGGAGCTCGGGGGTCCCTTCCAACTCAATAATAATAATAATAATAATAAGGAGAGGCTTTTTCTACCTAACTGTTCAGCTTTGGCAATATTGGTGGAGTGGAGAGAAATTTAGGCTTTAATAATAATAATAATAATAATAATAATAATAATAAATTAATACCCCGCCCATCTGGCTGGGTTTCCCCAGCCACTGTGGGCGGCTCCCAAACAGATTAAAAACAGAATAAAACATCAAACATTAAAAACTTCCCTAAATAGGGCTGCCTTCAGATGTCTTCTAAAAATCAGATAGTTGCTTATTTCCTTGACATCTGACGGGAGGGTGTTCCACAGGGCGGGTGCCACTACCGACAAGGCCCTCTGCCTGGTTCCCTGTAACCTCACTGCTCGCAATGAGGGAACCGCCAGAAGGCCCTCGGAGCTGGACCTCAGTGTCCGGGCTGAACTCTATGATTTTGTGGTTCTATCCTGTTGCCATATGCCTGTAGGAAACCAGCAAGCATCTTCTCCCCTCTTGTGGTTTCC